CAGAGGCGGCTCATCACCGATACAAGCTGTCGTCCCACGCGCTATCCCAGCATGCCAATCTGTCACGCTCCTGTTTACATCCGGCGCCCGTCCACAGTCTCTGGACTAGCGGCGCACAGACGAGGCCAAAGCGGCACGAGATCGACATCAGCTGACCTCACCGCATTATCACACACAGCAGCCATTCACACATACAGCTTACATTTACACTGATGATGAAGGAACTACATGTTCATGACATTTAAAATACTTGTATTTCTAGGTCCAACCTTTGGTTAAATTTGATTATTCGGATATCAGAATCTATTGATAAAAGCTCCCAGAAGAAACTGGCCAGCGTGTCTCAATCAGGATCAGAACGAGTGTGTGAGTGTGTGTGTGAGAGTGTGTGTGTGTGTGTGTGTGGGTGTGAGAGTGAGTGAGTGAGTGAGTGTGAGAGTGTGTGTGTGAGAGAGAGAGAGTGAGTGAGTGAGTGAGTGTGAGAGTGTGTGTGTGAGAGAGAGAGAGTGAGTGAGTGAGTGAGTGTGAGAGTGTGTGTGTGAGAGAGAGAGAGTGAGTGAGTGAGTGAGTGTGAGAGTGTGTGTGTGAGAGAGAGAGAGTGAGTGAGTGAGTGAGTGTGAGAGTGTGTGTGTGAGAGAGAGAGAGTGAGTGAGTGAGTGAGTGTGAGAGTGTGTGTGTGAGAGAGAGAGAGTGAGTGAGTGAGTGAGTGTGAGAGTGTGTGTGTGAGAGAGAGAGAGTGAGTGAGTGAGTGAGTGTGAGAGTGTGTGTGTGAGAGAGAGAGAGTGAGTGAGTGAGTGAGTGTGAGAGTGTGTGTGTGAGAGAGAGAGAGTGAGTGAGTGAGTGAGTGTGAGAGTGTGTGTGTGAGAGAGAGAGAGTGAGTGAGTGAGTGTGAGAGTGTGTGTGTGTGTGTGAGTGAGTGAGTGAGAGAGTGAGTGAGTGAGTGAGTGAGTGAGAGTGTGTGAGTGAGAGAGCGAGAGAGAGAGAGAGCGAGAGAGAGAGAGTGTGAGTGAGTGAGTGAGTGTGTGTGAGAGAGAGTGTGTGTGAGTGAGAGAGAGAGAGAGAGCGAGAGAGAGAGCGAGAGAGAGAGAGCGAGAGAGAGAGCGAGAGAGAGAGAGCGAGAGAGAGAGCGAGAGAGAGAGAGCGAGAGAGAGAGCGAGAGAGAGAGAGCGAGAGAGAGAGCGAGAGAGAGAGAGCGAGAGAGAGAGCGAGAGAGAGAGAGCGAGAGAGAGAGCGAGAGAGAGAGAGCGAGAGAGAGAGCGAGAGAGAGAGAGCGAGAGAGAGAGCGAGAGAGAGAGAGCGAGAGAGAGAGCGAGAGAGAGAGAGCGAGAGAGAGAGCGAGAGAGAGAGAGCGAGAGAGAGAGCGAGAGAGAGAGAGCGAGAGAGAGAGCGAGAGAGAGAGAGCGAGAGAGAGAGCGAGAGAGAGAGAGCGAGAGAGAGAGCGAGAGAGAGAGAGCGAGAGAGAGAGCGAGAGAGAGAGAGCGAGAGAGAGAGAGTGGGAGTGAGTGATTGAGTGTGTGTGTGTGTGTGAGAGAGTGTGTGTGTATGTGTGTGTGCACGTGTCGCTGGTTCTGCTTCTTGTTTGAGTCTGATTTCCACACACACTGTTTGCATGTCAATGATTAACACAAAGGCTGACCTCTAAAGTGACGGCGAGGTCACACACGTTACAGGTATTTATCTGAGGGACGAGACGAACGCTCCCCGCGCGCATCATGAATCAGACGGCAGACACCTCGCTTGTGTTTTCTTCAGTCGCAGGAAACGGCCGTCAGATTTATAGCGTGCTGATGCTGAGCAGACGCCTCCGCTGATATTCCTGCTGCCTTTATGATATTTACTTAAACAAGGAATTTGTTGAGCGTAAATTTAGGGCTTTAGTGAAGCACAATAAAGTTCCCAGCGCTCCGGCTGTGTTCAGAGGCCCGGAGGTGTCTGGGAAAGCCGCGCTGCAATCATCGTTATGCAAACGTGCGATGCTCATCGTCAGGCGTCGGCGCTCGTTCTCGCGCTGCAGGAGACACAAACTTCATCTTCACTCAGACTGTGTGTGTCAACATGAGAGAAAAGATCATCGGATCACAAACTCACACAGCAGATGAGTGAAGGAACACGTGATCAGACACCTCATCACAGTTCTCCTTCACCGTCCAATACAACAAAAAACTAATAATGAACAGTCTGTTGTTCTAAATGCATGAGCACAACTGATATTTACCTGAACTTCAGTCATCAGCAGAAGCTTTGAGGTTTAAAGATCATTTCTATATCAGTTCAGTCAAATGTGTCCAAACACTGGACTAAAACAGGTTGTTTTTTGTTTGTTTGTTGTGAATGTACATGAGACGCCACAAATACCCAGAATCCACCTGCCCTCTGAAGCCTTTCAGCTTGAAGTCAGTCAAACGTGTGTCACGATTCTTCATAAGAAGAGTGTTAGCGTGTGCAGTGATCAGATGTGTGTGTGATGTGTATTTTGGGAGAGATTTATGTTCATCACATTACAATGTAGTGTTGGTAGTGAAAGCTGTGTGTGTGTGTGTGTGTGTTAAGTGTGTTTGTGTGTGTTAAGTGTGTTTGTGTGTGTGTGTGTTAAGTGTGTGTGTGTGTGTGTTAAGTGTGTTTGTGTGTGTGTGTGTGTTAGTGGCCACTTACGGCAGAATAAACAGGCCTGCTGGGCCAAAGAGAGGCGTGAAATTCAGCCACTGCTCTGATTTATGAGCTGCAGGAGAACCCCCATCTCACCTGACGCAACCCGACACTCTAACACACACACACACACACACACACACACACACACACACACACACACTTGCACACAGCAGCTCTTAGTTTTAAAAACAGGCCTGATGAAGACATCGTTCATCTTCCTCCTCCCACATGATCGCGTGTGATTCATCTGCATCCAAACGGTGCCACACGCTCAATTCCTGTGATTTCGTGGTCAGCTACATGAAACGCCAGCGGCTAACGAATGAGAGGCGTGAATGAATGAATCTGCTCTGAGGTCAGAGGTCAGCGGTCACTGACCCCACACAGGGACGAACTCTTCTAAAGATTCAGCAAACAACAGTTTATCCTTAAATCAAGATGCAAAATGCAAAAATCGATATGAAGTCTTGTTTTCTGAGAAATTGATCAAAATTAAGTTTGTGATCAAACCAAGAGCAAATATCTGCCAATGGACTCAGAAAATCAACTTAATTCAAAGAGAAAATGAGTTTACATTCCTCCTTGGCAGATATTTGTTCATATTTTAATCATCAGTTTCTCAGAAAACAAGACTTAATTTCTTCATTTTGTATCTCCAGTAAATGTATCTTGATTTCAGGATGTACTGTACTGGAAAACAAGACAGAAACACTGAGGAAGAGATTCATTTAATGCCACGGCTTTATGAATGTAAGATTTCTGCTCTGATTTAAGAGCTTTTAAGGCCTTATTTTGAGGAAAGGTGAATTAAGACTTTTTATGCCAGCTTTACAATTTTATCTGCATCTTGCCATTTCTATGCAGCGATTTTTATGCAATATCCCAAAATGCACATAAAATCAGATGGACAGAAACTACTGATCATGACACATAAGTAAAGTGAAGAATAACGTGTTAGTGGCACAGGAAGTCATGACTCCTGGAGGAAATCCTGCTCTGATCCCACAGGGAAAACCAAATAAATGAGGAGAAGTGTTGCACTCTCCTCTCAAACATTAGTCTCCGTACGGCAGATAATCCTGCTTAACTGAGCACTTCAAGAGTTTAAGAGCAGACACACAAACAAACTCCGGCTTTCTGCCGCTCCACCATCCATCAACATCTGTTCTTCACTTCAAACACATAAGAGACTAAGCACCAGATTTACTGAACACGGATCCCATCCCATGAAAGCGCTGATGGGAGTGTTTAGCTCTGCTGATTATTAAAGACTCAGATCATTTCTATCATGACCAAACCAGCAACGACCGGCCATCTCCAGAGTTAAATAACGGTGCAAACACCAGTGAACGGACTAGTGATTTAAACCCTTCTCTGCTGCAATTCTGTTGTAAAGTCTAACTATATTATCACTCAGCTCGTTATTTAAAGTTGCATATGCAAGTAATCTGTAATCTGCATACATACAGTACAGTGTGTAAACTGATATGTAGCAAATGCAACTATATTCTCGTCCAGCTCTAATCTGATAAATGCGACTATAAGGCATGAAGATATTAAGATATTATAACCGTGAACATGAACATGTTTTCTGCTTTGTTGCTGTGTTGTGAAAGGCACTATATAAATACATTTGACATGCACTCGGACGCCTCCTCATTCAGCTGAGAGAGTCACTGTCCCACAATGCCGTGCGTTTATCTCTGTGCCGCTGTGGAGCAGACTGAGGGATAATCAGCTCGACTGCGGCTGAGGACGGCCTGAGCTTCACCGCAGGACCCAGGATAAGAGCGCGTCTGATAAAGCAGCGTTAGCCAGCTCATTACACCGCTAGCGTCTGGGACCGAAGGGAGCCCGCTGCTTCCTCAATATAAAGCTCGTTCAGGGAGCGCTTCAGGACTCCGGGGGTTTGAGTCTGACCGCTGAGCCGCAGCACCGTCTGCAGACGACTGCTTCTGTTAACACGTGACCACACGCGTGTACCACGTTCCTGATCATCACATGACAAACACTCAGAACTGTGTGATCCGGCACAGATTTCTGCATCCACACGATAAAAACCCCACACAGAAGCCACAAGAAAACAACCCCCTGCCTTTCAGTTCATGAGTGCGAGTCTGAACTGGCCACGACACACAAGAAGTTGAACTTGAATACAAACTTGCATAGGTAGAGTTTTAAACATTTATCTATCTGGCCTACAAACCTTCAAACATCAAGGCTTTTTAAACTCCTTCAAAGTTTGACTCGAGTTTGTTTTTCTAGTTTAAAATGAATTTCAATTCCTTTTTACACCTCTTTCCATTGGAATCGATGTGCTGTAGTGGAATGCTGTGGTGTGTGGAGCTCACCTGGTTCCTCCGAAGAGGACGATGCGATCTCCCAGCATGCAGCAGCACTGTCTCCGTCTGGGACACGGGCCTTTGCCCTTCGGCTCCAGCTTCTTCCAGGAGAACGCCTCTGAACACATGAATACAGACCAGCGTGAAACACTGAGTCCACTCTGGATAAAACTTCAATACGGAAACAAAATCAAACAAGAATTAGCCCTGTAAATAAATAGATAATTATTAAATACAGTTTGAAGCAGACATTTAAAAACCTACAGCAATTTTTCTGACTATAACTGTATTTCATTGCACCCCTAATTTTTTTAATTATTGTAATACAATTGTCTTAAATGACATAAATATTACTAACTAAACCGAGCTGGACAAACGTATGTTTAATGAGCCGCTCAGAATGAGAAGAATCACCTGGATTGAACTTCCAGAGGTCGTTGAAGTGTCGATCCAGACGAGCATTATAACCACCGAATATGTACAATTCTCCATTGTAAGCAACTTTCAGAGAAAAATAAAGAAAAACTGAGATTAACAACCAAAACCATGCAGTTTCAGCTCATCCCAGCGTGTGTGTGTGTGAGAGAGAGAGTGTGAGTGTGTGCGTGTGTGTGAGCGTGTGTGCGAGTGTGACTGTGCGTGTGTGATGTGAGAGAGTGAGTGAGAGAGTGAGTGAGTGAGTGAGTGGGAGAGAGTGAGTGTTTGCTCACAGGCAGAATGGCTCCTGCGTCCCTCGGGCAGCAGCTGTGCAGACGCTGTGTTTAGCCAGCAGTTTGTCTCCGTGTCGAAGATCTTGATTTTCTTGCAGTAGATCTCGTTGTTGGAGTGGAAGGGGCCGAATCGATCCGCTCTTCCTCCAAACACAAACATCTTGGTGCCGATGATAGTAGCAGAGTGGAAGTCCCTCCATCGAGCCGGAGTGCCCTGAGAGACCAACACCACACGCCTCAGACACAGACAATGATGTGGCAGTGAACACACACACACACACACACACACACACTCTCACTCACTCACGCACGCACACACACACACACACACACACACAAACACTCTCACACACTCATTTTAGCATCATCAAACGGACGATCACACAATCACATCTCTGTCTGTGCGTGAGAAACTCTGTTCACATTCAATCACATCTTTCTCTATTATACACAGATCAAGGTCTGATGAAGCTCCACGGCGCCATCTAGTGACAGCGGCTGTGTCTCAAACCTAGTCAGCTGACTCAGGGGTTTTCAACCTTTTAGGACATGTTTGTCTAATTTCACTCAATCTTCACTCATCTTCATTCAAGCATGTATATGGAAGTAAATGAAATTGAAATAAGATTGAAATAAGATTTTAAGATTTTTTTTTAGTCAAGTGTCCATCGAATCATGCTGGAAACAGCAGATCATCCGGGGACTTTCAGCTAATGCTGTGAATTCAGACACTACTCTGTTCACATACTGTTTTTCGCCTACTATTTAGAAGTTTACACACTCACTCACGCACACACACACACACACAAACACTCTCACACACTCATTTTAGCATCATCAAACGGACGATCACACAATCACATCTCTGTCTGTGCGTGAGAAACTCTGTTCACATTCAATCACATCTTTCTCTATTAGACACAGATCAAGGTCTGATGAAGCTCCACGGCGCCATCTAGTGACAGCGGCTGTGTCTCAAACCTAGTCAGCTGACTCAGGGGTTTTCAACCTTTTAGGACATGTTTGTCTAATTTCACTCGCCCCACAGGTTGAAAAGCCCTGAGCTGACTACACCGATCACGCTGTTGAGCATCAGATCCTTGCATTATACAACCATCTAATATTCCTCATCTGAGCTAAAACTGGAAGTAATGATGGTCAGCGGTGAAGGTTATACGTCTCTTCATTCAAGCATGTATATGGAAGTAAATGAAATTGAAATAAGATTGAAATAAGATTTTAAGATTTTTTTTTAGTCAAGTGTCCATCGAATCATGCTGGAAACAGCAGATCATCCGGGGACTTTCAGCTAATGCTGTGAATTCAGACACTACTCTGTTCACATACTGTTTTTCGCCTACTATTTAGTAGTTTGAGTTCATTTTATTTATATAGCAGCTTTACCACAGCCACTAGGCTGGCCAAAGTGCTTACCAGAGGAGCACGATTAGAGCAGAATATAACATACATAAGAACAGGCCAGACAGCAGAATTAAGAACAACATAGTTAAGAATGACCATATCGCAGGAGGACCGAAACAAAGTTTTAAACTCAATTCAACATACAAGGGATTACGATTACTACGGAGACGTGTTTGTCACATTTTAAAGGCTGATCAACAGGAACTAAAGGCAGATAAACTCTCCAAATCAGGGTCTATACACTGAGAACTCTCATTTGGGAACAATTACCTCGGTCTTGTCTTCATTTAGGAAGAGGACATTATGGGCTAGCCATGATTTGACCTCCTCTAAGCATAGCACAAGAGCTGAAATCACAGTGGGACTGTTTCTTTTGATTGGTAAATAGATTTGAGTATCATCCACATAAAAATGAAAAGATACACCATGTTTCCTTAGAATAGAGCCCAGAGGTAACATGCAGAGAGAGAAGAGAGGGAAGATAGAGCCTAAAACTACCCAGCTTCACTAGAAACTTTCTGTCGGTCAGGTATGACTGAAACCAGCTCAGAACGGGACTCTAGTCTAGATAATAGAGTGCGGAGGTCGATAGTATCAAATGCAGCAGATAGATCTAAACGAATAAGAAGCACAGAGTCTCCGGAAGCAGTAGACAGATGAATATCGTTGATAAGAGTGTGTGACTCACCCGAACGCTCACTATTGACCAGCACATGCTGCTGGTGTCCAGCTTGTGAATCTCATTGGAGAAGCAGTCGGCCTGAGAACACAAACACGCTTCGTCACGCGCTCATTAGCTGATTATAATCACTCCATCACCTAAGTTACGCACCAGCTGCTCGTATCCGCCGAAGATGTACATGGCCTTTCCCAGAACACAGGCTGAGTGTCCGTCTCTGGCCCCTGGGACCGTCCCGGAGATCTTGGGAGTGAACCAGCGGTGCTGAGCTGAGGAGACACACACAGACACACACTCAACACAGACACACAGACGCGCACACACACACACACACAGACACAGACACACAGACAGACACACACAGACACACACACACAGACACAGACGCACACACAGACGCAGACACACAGACAGACGCACACAGACACACACACACAGACACAGACACACAGACAGACACACACACAGACGCACACACACAGACGCAGACACACAGACGCACACACACAGCCAGACAGACACAGACACACACACGCAGACAGACAGACAGACAGACAGACACACACACACACCCACACACGCACACA